ACGATGTTCGCCGCCTCATGCAAACCTACTTGAGTAGAGGACTCTTCGCTGGCAATGAGCTGTTCGAAATGCATTTACAGTATGACTACATGAAGGATCTACAGTGGCAGGCGGCAGTCTTCATGAGACCCTCGTTCTATATATGCTGCGCTTTTGTAGTTGTGACAATTGGTCTAACAGCTGTTGCTGTGTCTAGCAGAAAGACGGAATGTATGAAAGCAGTCAAGAAAAAGACAACTGAAGTGTTAGCTGCCATGGACACTAAGTCTAGTAATTCTTCGCACTACACCGGGGACTCCAACTCACAAGCAGTTATTCAGCAACAATTTGAGGGGAGAAGCTTTATCACCTGTTTTGATATCGCAGCGAATTGGCAGCTCATTTTTGCGCCGCCTAAATCGGCTCACACATTTGCCGCTCTCAATGGTTTGCGTTTTGGTAGCACTTTATGCGTCATCCTCTATCATTANCGCCGCCTAAATCGGCTCACACATTTGCCGCTCTCAATGGTTTGCGTTTTGGTAGCACTTTATGCGTCATCCTCTATCATTATTTGGTTTTTCTCTGCACTGGTACAAGAAACAAGTTGACGCTTTTCAACTATCAAGTGCAGATCGGAAATGTAGATATATTCGTGGATATATTCTTTGTGCTCAGGTATTTAAGGAGTATCGAAGACGGAAATATTTTACTTTTAAATTTAAAACTCTTTTTCAAAAGCGGCTTCTTGCAAGCATACAATCATTTTCGGAACGCAAAATTATTGGCGATGATACGTAAGAACAATTTCGTACAAAATTTAAAGTTAATTGGAGCCCACTTATTTCATCGCTATTTGAGGTAAGTAGCATCTTTAACCCTTAGCCAGCATTTTTGCGACATATTTATTGTACAAGTTTTTTAAGAACTTTCGACTATTTTGATTTTTTATTTTTTGAACGTTGTCACATGCTGATAAGTGGATCTTATTTTCAATATATATATATTTTTTTTCAAAATAAAGGCTTAAAAAAACGAAACAAAAAATTCTTTTATATATTTGCATTTTTATCAGACCATTCGGTTAAAAAATTCGTATTTTCTGGAGTTAGTTGCAAGCTTTGCTATTTACCAAGCTTTGCAAGCTTTGTTATTTACAATGTCATATTAGAAATAGAAATTTGAAAAAACAGCATAAAAAACAAAATAAAGAATTAGCATAAAAAAATAAAAATTTACCAAAAATTTTAAAAATTTATAAAAAAAATATAAGAACGCTGACTTACTCTAAGTTAATACTTATAACAATCTCTTAACAAGAAATTAGATTACTATTGACTTTCAGAACTCGGAATCTGATGAAATGTTTGTTATTAATGGTACCCTAAGATGGGCAAGGATCCCCTGGTGGAAGTTAGCAACTAGATCTGGTAATGCTAGATTAATCTAGTCTTTCCACGTTGCTGGCTGCCCACATTTAATGCCGCTTGTAGAAATCTTTGTACCCCAAGACCTAACCATTTTTATTTGCTTCCCAGACTGGCCCCCATGTATTTCCTAGTCATCGCCATGTCAGACTTTGGTGCGGCATTGTCCGACAACACCACTTTATTCCACATCGAACACAAAATTCAAGTGAATTGCGCAAAATATTGGTGGCGAAATGTATTATTTATACAAAATTTCTACGATCTCAATGATGCTTGTGGTATGTGGACCTGGTCGCTGGCATGCGACATGCAATTTTCATTATTGTCCAGCATTTTGCTCTTCACATATGTCAAGTAAGTAATTTTGTTTTTTTTTTTTTTACTAAATAAAGTATGCAATAACAAATTTGAACTATTCGTATTCGACTTTCTTCTTCAGACACCCGCGACGTACAAAACTCTGTCTTGTTACGCTCGTCATCGCCAATATTTTGTACACCTACTTTATCGGCCTCAAATTGAACTTCGATCATACACTCGAATCCACGTTTACCTATTTGACAGAAATCTACATCAATCCTTTGTCACGCATTTTGGCTTACATTTGCGGCAGCATTGCTGGCTGGTGGTTCGTAGAGCAGCGGCGACTACCATTTGCTTTGAGTAAAAGTATTCAGCGATTTTTTGGCCTTTTGCTGCCGCTAGTAGTGCTCGGCTGTATATTGAAGCCACCCTGTAACAGTCTTTCGCCGCTGGCAGCCACTTCAATTTTGCTATTGGAACGGATTATCTTCAGTCTGGCGTGTAGTATTTTAATTGTATGTAACGCGTATGGCCAAATACGTTGGTTTTTTCGTTTCTTCGAGTCCATTGTGTTTCAGAAATTTAACAAAGTTGTTTATGCAATGTTTATGTTGAATCCAATTTTCATATCTGCGTTGACAGGTTTTAGCCAATCGCATTTGTATGCCAATCCTTTGAATTTGGTGAGTATGAAGGACTCGAATCAATTGTTTATTTATTTTATTTTTGATTTATTTTTTCTTTTTGTCTTACAGGCGTTCGAATTCATCGGAGTTGTTGTAACTTTAGTGTTATTTTCAACACTTTTTACTTTACTCTTCGATATACCCTATCAAAATTTATCAAGACTGCTGATCATTCATCAAGACAAGCGGAAAATTGCCTAAAGCTTGAACTTCGTGTACGGAAACATTGTACATATAGATTTTAGTTTTGATAAAATTTCCACCTGATTCTAATATTCAACGTTTTTGTATATTTTATAAGCATGTATGTATGTAATTCTTAAGAAATATATTTCGTCTTAAACCGAGTAATCAAGTTTTTATAAGAGCTAAGTAAATATTTTATGACTTTAAATTATAAGCATTTTTAAAAAATTCTATAATAAAAGTTGAAAATTCGGTTTGCAAACCCTGCTAAAATATTTCCACAAAAATAGTCTTTAGCAAAATACCCCACCGAGTATGCATACACAGGGTAAAATTAAGATGTAAATTGTTGTTAGAACTGAAACTTATTGGAAAAAAAAATCTCCGAAAAAAATTTCGAAAATTTTCGAAAAGCTTTGAAGTAAGCTTACAATATTCCAAAAAATTATACATAAACAATCCGAAAAGTCTCGCCAAATAAAATTCCGAAAAATCCAGATAAAATCCCCAAAACTTCCCGAAAAAGTCACGAAAAATAAAAAACGAAAAATCCCAAAAGTACAATAAATATCCCTATCACTTTATAAAGCTTTTTAAAGCTACTTTATTTTTAAAACCTTTTTTAGATTTCACCTGTGTGAAATCAATTCATACATTCAATTTTTAACAAGCGTGATTTTTAACGATACGTGAAGCTTAAGACTTAGCTAAGAACCCGATGACAATGCAATATGAAAGAGGAAGAATTAATCCGCTAGGTGACGCAGGTGTCGAGATATTTGAAAAAGCCGTATTTTTGGTCCGAAATGCTTCATATGCTGAATGTATATTACTTATGTAAAGGGTTAGGATTTTAAGGCGCTAAAAACTTGAAAAAAGGCAAAATGAGCTTTCAAAAAAAGCAAAAAAAGGCATTTATTTTTTATTTTTTTTTTTATATACATACCTTTAGTATAATGTGATGTCCAACTAAATATACAAAAAAATCCATATAGTGAGAAAAAAATTATAGACGCGCACCACTTTGTGCCAAATTTTAACATATTTTTTTATTTTTATTTTTTGTTTTTTTTTTTTAATATAGTTCATTCTTTAACAAACCGCGTGTAAATCCAAGTTTTCAACTTTTTCCAATGTTCAAGAGCTTTCGTAAAAATTTCGAGTTTTTTTGAAAATTCGAAAAAATCAACCATAATTTTTAGCCATTTGAAACTTGTACTTTATTCTACTGGAATCCAACTGGCTACAAAACTACATACTCTTTCTAGGAAATCTAATTACAAAATCTCGAAATTTCGTTACATTTTTTTAAATATTGCACATTTTAATTCAGTATCACACGATTCGTAATTTTGTACAGATTTGTACTTGCGGGCTGTTGGTACAAAGTAAAAAAAAAATTGGGACGACAATTTTTTTGTAGTCACACGATTGGTACAATACCGCGAACTTCTATGAAGAGATATATATTAAAAAAGCAGAAAAGGCAAAAAAAGGCAAAATTAAAATTAAAATTTTTAATAAATGAAGACATAAAACGTGTGATTCTTTAACTTGGTTTACAGAAACGACTACGTAGACAAAATAGGCAAATGCCTTCAAATCCTAACCCTGCTTATGTACATGGAAAGGCGGAGCTCCATAAAAAATTTTGCCCGAAAGATGCTGCAGGAGTCGAGATATTTAGAAAATCCGTATTTATGGTCCGATTTTTTTCATATTTAGAACCTATATTGCTTAAATGGAAGGAAATACAATTTTTTTTAAATTATTGTTTATGAAAAAGACAATAAGTATACAATACTATTACAAAATGTCAGTTGGAACAGAAGATAAACATCTATGGACCGCTGGTCAAGAAGAGGGAGAAAAAACTGCCATCCTATCAAATTTATTTCCTGTTACTAATAAAGCAAATCGCCACAACCAAACACTTCTATTAAATTGATTTTTTTTTTTCTACCAAACAATCACGCAATGACCAAATGACACCCAAATCATCCTCATTGCCTTCATTTGAACTCTTCTACTACGCCGTAGCAAATTTCTTAGTACATTTTTTATTTCATTACGCTGTCACGTAACTTTCATTATTAGCTTCTTTGCGCTACATTACCAACGCCCAATTGTAAATTGTTATTGCTGCAGTAACAGCAGTTAGAGCAGTAACAAAAACTAGTAACTACATCATCTTCATCGTGATGATCATCAGCAGCATTTAGGTAAATGCATACATACATGCATATGTACATATGTATGTGCTGGCGTTACCAGCAGCAATGAATACAAAATGAGCGCACGACCTGCCGCAAGTAGAACAAAGACCTGTTGCTCTATTGCTGGCCGCTGCATATACATATCCACTGCCGGAACGAAGTATTGGCACAGCAAATTTTTCACAATATATGCAACAATTTTTATTCTAATATTTTTCCGCCAATTTTGAATAAAAATATGGTTCATTCAACAACAAAAAACATAAAAATATAATGCCTAAAATTTTGTACAAAACTCGCGAAAATTCAGCAAATTTTCAACTTTTTAATCAGATTTTTTAGAATTTTTTTGAGTATGCAGTTTTACAGCCCATTAAATTCTAGTAAAAAATGCAAGTTCGGAGTTGATTTTTCGTGATCGTGTTGATTTTTGAGAATTTTTTTAATGAAGGTGTTTTGCATTTTTTCCATATAAAGTATTTTCGAAAAAAAAAATGTGTATGGAAGAGACTGCATGAAAAAAAATTGCCACGAATCAACGGTAATTCCTAGCTACTTAAACCTTGCACTTTATTACAATAAAATTAATTGGGCTAAAAATCTGCATACCCAAAAAAATTCTAAAAAATCTGATTAAAAAGTTGAAAATTTGCTGAATTTTCGCGAGTTTTGCACAAAGTTTAGGGTTTATATTTTTATGTTTTTTATTATAGAATGAACCATATTTTTATATGAAATTAGCAGAAAAATATAAGAATGGAAATTGTTGCATATATTGTGAAAAATTTGCTGTGCCAATACCTTGTTCCGGCAGTGTATAGTTTTGTGTTGCACCCAGTTGTTGCTTGCTGTTGACCACAAATTTTAGTGGCAGCAGCAGCAGTTGGCAAACATAAAAGCACATAAACATGTTTATCTGGTTGCAAGATATACAAGCGCATACTCATCTCAACATACATGCATTTGTATACTATATATGTATGTATGCAAAGGCGAATTTCATTCAGTTCAGTGTTTATGCCACCAGCAGCCCACATTCGCTTACTGCAATGCAAATGCAAATGCACTTTTCCACATCTCTTTATGATTATTGCAATTTTCATGTGCTTTCACGTGGGAGCAGCCATAGAAGCAGATCTATAGCCACCCACCCACTACTAATTTCTCACTCACTGACGCACTCTCTCTAAGAGTGCTTTCAGGTGGTGCATGCTGCTTTTTGGTTTCAACGCTTTTGTTTTTTTTTTTCTTTTTTTTTTTTTGGGAAACATAAATGTAGTTACAAGTTACATTCCTTTTGACATCTTTCATACTGCAATCAGTGCAATCATTTGCATATAAGCCCTCATATGCATATACTTATATACATATGTATGTACATATACATATGTGTTTCTAAACATTCACTCATGTACTCAAATACGTATTTGTGTGAGTGTTGCCTCCTCTTTTTGCATGTGGCCTGCTTTGTCGCTTACAAATATGCAGCTGCAAATTTTATTTAAGAGTTGTTCTGTTCTCTCGCACACAATGTCCCACTTCTAATATGTAAGCACTTGCAATGCAAATGGAAATTGACATATGAGAATTTGATTTGATGTGGAAATGAGATTTGTGTTGTAAACTTTCTATACAAAAATATGCTTGGGTCAAGGCTGTAAATGTGGGCGTCGTTGACACAGGGACTTATTGCTGAGTGAAAGTAAGCGTAGAGGCTACGACAGAAGTGCAAATTCCGTAAGGAGGATTCGAATTTGTCGAAAAAGTAATCAATATTGAGTGCTTGTAAGGTTGCTGCGTACTGCAGATTTTAATATAACATCATTTGTGGTATGCGACAATGTAATTTACAGTTGGAGAGACCAGTAATACTCTAAGTTTTTGTGTAAATGCAAAGATAATAGATTTCTAATGAAGCGGTAAAGTTTGCTTTTTTTTCTTAAGGCAAAAAAAGAAACATCGAAATTGTCACTTATTTATTTTTTATAATCTAGAAATGCAACATTTCTTACAGAATATGTAGTTATGTAGAACAAATATGCTTAATACAGCTATACATTATGTGAAATATTAATTTAATACAACTTTAAAATTGTGTAATATATAGAAAAAACGAGTTGAATCTTTAGCTAGAGAATTTAAGATCAGATTGAATTCTTCCAAGGCGGTGCTTGAACATAAGATTTCTAACTTTTTCCAAGAAAAAAGTGTCTTGATTCCCAAAGATTCAATGAGGAATGTGAAAATTACACTGGATCACAAATTTTTGTTTTTTTTTTTTTTTGTTCACCGGATCCCACTATCCATTGCCTATGAGGAATTGCTCGGTGATTCCGAAAATCAAGTTCATTTTTAACCTATGGATAGGTTTTCGAGATATTTTCAATTCACCGCTATTCAGCCTAAAAAAAACAAGTGGTTCCACCTAATCACGCATATTTCAAGAATAATAAAAATACGACAAATTCAATCTAACAAAATTCTCCATAAAACATGTATATCGATGGCTGAGTGGAAGATCGACCTATCTCGGCAGCCAGTTCGAAAACCACCTATCTCAAAAAACGTTTACCCTATTTCCTATATACATCCAAAATATTACCATGGAGGCAATAAAAAAATTGGATGAAACATTATTAACAACTACATACTACACAAATAACCAGCTTTATTTGAATATTAAGTACATATATACTTATTGTGTCTTTATACATACATACGTAAATATATGTGCAGTCTTTCACATTGGAAAACGTCGTTTACAATTTTGGTCTCCACTTAATAGTCGGGCATAATTTA